AATAATATTTTATTTTAAGAAACTTTCCCAATTTAAAAGAATGTTACAAAACAAGTTTATAAAGATCTATCTTTGACTCGCCCAGATTACTTGAAGCCCTCCACTAAACTGCCTAATTTAACAGAACAACAAACTTGTACAGGCCTTGTTGAAATCCCTACTCGGGGTGGGGGTGGGGGTATCTAATTACATTAAAATACCCTGTCTCCTTGAAGAAGTTTATGGATCAAACAGCACAGTTGCTGATTTCCTTTCCCTAAGACCCTTCAGAATGGTTCCTGAGGCTCCAGGTTTCACGAGTCACCACTTACACACAGCCACTGGATCTTGGAACAGCTCTATCCTCCACCCATTTTCCCATCTTCCCTGCCCTTCATTCTGCGCTGTGCTTTGCAGGGCTCTGCCCCTCCCTTCCATCACCTCCACCAGTCTTTAAAGACCCCTTCTTCACCAGTCCTCCCCTTTACTCTGAGCTTCCATCCAGGGTGCCCTTTTGTGCTGTCCACAAATCCTGAGAGCAAACGCATTCCTAAGGCCAGGCCAGGTGACACCCCCAAACTCACAGCACTCTCACTCTCAACCCTGATTCAACTGTGCCTGGGCAGGTGTCCGGGACAGGCTGTGGCAGAATGGCTGGTTGGGGCTTGTCAAGCAGCCTGTTGGCAAGTAATCTCCTGCCTTGGGCACAGCAGAGGAAAAGGCATGAGCCAATGAATAAAAGACAGGGCATACTCCCTGTCCTGAACACGACTAGAAGTGGGGAGACGGTCAGGTATCTTTTACCAGACTCATCCAAAGCACCTCATCATCAAACAGTGTTTCAAAGTACACATGTGACTGTCTAAAGCAAGTTATGGGAGGGGGTAGAGATTATGAAGAACCTTAAGTCTGCTCAGGATGCAATGCCAAAAAGTGTGTGGCCAACTCAGCTTTCAGAGCACTTCTGACTTCTGTCATTGCATGGGAGAGGTTGGGATCTGAAGCAGTCACCTACACCGTGAAGTCATGTCATCATCCTTCGTCACACATAGACTCCCTGTTTTCACAGCCCAGGAAAAGTGGGTGCCATTTGCCCAGATGCGGTAAGTGACTTGTCAATGTTGCCCAGCTTCTTGCTGGGGTTCCATAGTCCACATTTTCACCAGGCTTATGTGGCAGAGGGGGTAGAGTTGGAAAATCAAGGTCTTTCCCAGAGGCCTGGCACTTGCTTAGAAAAGTGAGCACAGAAGAGGCCGGAGCCCCACAGACATGCTCAGATGAGTGGAGGCCACTGGGGGCGTGTGTAAGGGCTTTAATCGCATGACGGCTTTTCCCACAAGCCACGAGGAAGTTTAAGTGTGATTGATGACAGGCAAAGCAGAGGCAGCAGCAGAGCAGAGTAAAGGCAGGATGCCAGCTGGCCAGACTCTGAGTAACTCGGGCACACGCTTTCCTGGGGACTGTGGAGCGGGGAGGTGACTCTTAAATATTTGTCATCTTTTACCTTTGTGAAATCTCTCCACAGGTTGATGTACCCTTCCCAGTGCTGTGTGGGGCCGCAGGCTTCCCACTGGGCAATAGTGACTCAGTGTGGTCACATGTGTAAGTGTCCCTGTGCTGTGCCCTGTGCTGGGGGTCTATGGAAAGGAGGAGCGGTTGAATGGGTCCTGAGACAGGAGTAGAAATTCAGCGCCAGTGAGACGGCTCAGGGAGTTACAACACTTGCCACCAAGCCTGGCTCCCAGGACCCACATGGCGGAAGGACAGAACTGAATCCCGACAGCTGACCTCTGACCTCCACATGTGTTCCACGGGTGTGTATCCCCTCGCTGCTTCACAAGTAAATGTCATTTCAGAAGAAACTGATCCTGATACAAAGGCCAACACTCAAGGGGTGCCACGATTGCACCTTTCCCTTAGAGTGTCTTAGTCAGGGTTTCTGTTGCAATGAAACACCATGACCAAAAAGCAAGTTGGGGGGGGAAGGCACACGTCCACATTGCCATTCAATGAGTTCATTGACAGGAACTCAAACCCGGCAGAATCATTGAGGGAGGAGCTGATGAAGAGGCCATGGAGGGCTGCTGCTTACTGACTTGCTCATCATGGCTTGCTCAGCCTGCTTTCTTATAGAACCCAGGACCATCAGCCCACAGATGGCACCACCCAAGATGGGCTGGGCCCTTTTGAATTAATCACTAATTGATAAAATACCTTACACCTGATCTTATAGAGGCATTTCCTCAACCGGGGCTCCTTCCTCTCTGATGACTCTACTTTGCGTCAAGTTGACACACAAAACCAGTCAGTACATAGAGGCTCAGTTCTGAAGTTCTACTTAATCATTTTCATGATGGTTTCACTGTGGATCTGTATGTATTTCCAGAGAATATGATTCTGGTTTTGTTTAACGTTTTGGTCCTTGTAAAAAGCAAGAGGATGTTTGATGGTGTTGTTTGTCTGTTTGTTTTTTTTTAACTCACTGTGTAGCCCAAGCTGGCCTTGAACCCATGATAATCCTCCTGTCTCAGCCTCCCAAGTACTGGGATTACATCATTTCCAACCATAGTGTATTTTTGGAATCATCAATGGCTTGTGTAGCTGAGGTTCGTTCCTTTCCTACTGTATCCACTACATCCATTCTGTAAGCCATTTGGACTACATCTGGCTTCCTGTTCCTGCCCTGAGCGTAGAGCAGTACTCCCTCTAGGAGAGGATTCTCTAAAGGTGTGATGAGGGACCCCACAGTGTCTGCGCAGCTGTTTTGGGGTGCTACTGCCATCTAGTGTCAAGTGCGGGACATGCTGGGCATCCTGAAATTGACAAGACAGCTTCGTGATTCCCACAACTGCGAGGCCCGCCCCAAACACACACAAAAAATTACCTAGCTCCTATGCCTGGTTGGGAAACCCGGTCTTAAATATGTGGAATGGATTTTGGCTCGGTCGGGTGCTCGACGTTCAGCTTGCACGGTCAGCGTAGCTCATTATTCAGTGGCCTTGCAGCCTCTGCTTAGCTTCTCATTATCCATTTCCGGGTCCTGGTCATACCGGCCTTTAGAGTTTTGTTTTTTGTTTTTCCCCAAATTTTGTACCTCTAAAATAATATCTAGTGGTTTTAATTTTCATTTCCTGAGTAGAGGAGATGAAATGTGTTTTCACATTTATGTTTCTTTTGTCCCCATAAATCTTTTTGTCCATTTTCCAATTGTATTGTTGATTTGCTTGGGTTTTTTTTTTTCTTGATAGTTGCTGGAAATTCCCCCTCTGCATGTTCTAGATTCTTTAAAAGACCAAAATATAAATCTTTTACATTTGCTACAGATAACTTCTATTTGTGACTGTCACATGATAAACAGGAAAGTTCCTGATTTCTTTTTAAATTTACCATTATTACTATTTACTTTGCAGTACAGGGGATACACTTGGGCTTTCATGCATGCTGAGCAAGCACTCTGTCACTGAGAGCTATGTCATGCTGTAAATATAATAGAATTTTCCAGTCATTTTCTTCATAGTTCCTCTGGAGTTGGGTCCCTGTTCAGTGTTAGAGTGAGGGCCTCAGTTATCTCTGCCTATTGGCTAGGGACAAGATTCAGGTCCTTGTCCCAAAGGCTTTTCTTATGGGACAGTTTAGCTGTGGTAGCTGGCTTCCCTCAAAGTGCTCAGTAGAGACAGAGACAGTATAGCAGGCCAGTCTCTCTGGCCTCTTCTCAGAGTAACATCTCACCACACGGCCATATTCTGATTGAAAGAAGTAAGTTATACAGTCCCCCTTCTCACACCAGGGCATAGACAGCAGGAGGGTGGGGTCATCATGGTGTAGACACCAGGAAGGGAATGAGCACTGGGGCTATCATAGAGGCTGCCTACTACAGAAACGTAGAAAGGCCGAGGACAATTCGTTTTTCTTACTTTTACGTTCTTTAAAAACAACAACTTCCCGCCGGGCGTTGGTGGCGCACGCCTTTAATCCCAGCACTCGGGAGGCAGAGGCAGGCAGATCTCTGTGAGTTCGAGGCCAGCCTGGTCTACAAAGCGAGTTCCAGGACAGCCTCCAAAGCCACAGAGAAACCCTGTCTCGAAAAACCAAAAAAAAACAAAAACAAAAAAAAACAACTTCCCTATACTGGGTTCATTCATTTTTCACAAGTTTAAAATTTTTTCCAAGGCATGACATTTTATCCCAGCACTCAGGAAGCAGAGACAGGCAGATCTCTGTGAGTTCCAACCAGCTCAGTCTACACTGTGAGTTCCAAGAAAGCCAGGCTTAGAGAGAGAGACGCTATCTCAACAAACAAAAAAACTTTTAACTACGTGGTAGCACATATTTGTAATCCCAGCACAGGGAGGTAAAGGCAAAGAGATCAAAAGTTCAAGGTACCTCTCAGCTACAAAGTGAGTTCAAGTTCAACCTTGGATTTCATGAGACCTTGCCTCAAATAAAATACTTACAAATAAAAAGTTTAAAATTTTAGCTTTTTCATGATTGGCTTTTTAAAAAGTTTTTAAAGTGTGTGTGGGGTGTGTGTGTGTGTGTGTGTGTGTGTGTGTGTGTGTGTGTGTGTGTGTGTTTGCAAGTGCCACAGAAACCAGAAGGAGGCATTGGCTTCCCCGGAGCTGGAGTTACAGGCAAGTGTGAGACCCCTGGCATTAGCACTGGGAACCAAACTCAGGTCCTCTGGAGGAGCAGCAAGCGCTCTTAACCACTGAGCCCGCAAAATAAGTTCTTAGTACATTTAGAATTTCATTGTCTAGTACATTAACCATGTGTGGCTAGTTAAATTAAAAATTTCGCATCTTTAGCCATATTTCAAGTGCCCAGTAGAGACTTGTGGCCCATGGTTGCCAAATTGGGTAATTCTAAGGCAGAACAATTGCATCTTCACAGAAAAGTCAGATGATTTTGTGCCCCCATGCCAGGGAACACATCAAAATGTCTGGAGATTTTTGTCATGTTGGTATTGTGCTGGAGTGGTATATAAGTGCCACTCCAAGTGTGTGGCAGTCAAAACAACCGTGTGGAGTCATTCTTCTCCTTCTACCGTCACATGCATTCCAGGGACCAAACTCACGTTGCCAGGCCTGTGTAAGCCTTTACCTAGTGAGCTATCTTTTCAGCCCCTGGAATTTTATTCAGCAGTTAAGGAGGCTGAGGCCCTGAGCGCTCTTGAGGAGGATGAGTTTGGCAGCCACAGGGAGGTTTTCATTGTACCTCCCGACAACGACTCTGGGGACTTCACTGACGAGGATTCTGGGAGGAAGACAGTGGCTGGAATGGTGCCCAGCTGCCTGACCGGGTGCTGCATGCTTCAGTCGTGTCTGAGGACTCAGACCCACCACGAGGGGGAACTATGACAAGTCAGAGCTGCAGCCAGCCAAGAGAAGGTGGAAGTCAGCAGTGGAGACTCAACGGGTTTGGACCAAGAGAGACATCTGGCCAGACTTTGGTAGCTGAACAGCCTCAGATCCTCATATAGAGGACCTCAAAACCAAGGAGCTGAGTCCTGTGGGCCTCTTGGAACTGTTTTTTGATGATGGGACAATCAGTTTCATTGTTAATGAAGCCAACCATTATGCTCTACAGAAAAACATCACCCTCGATCTCACAGCCCAGGAACTGAAGTGTGTTTTGGGCATCTTGATTTTAAGTGGGTACGTCTCTTTTGGGAGACAACTCCTGACTCACATCGCCTTGTGGTTGATGCTATTAGAAGGGACAAATTTGAACTGATCTTCTCATACCTGCTTTTGCAGGTAATAGTGAACTCAATGAAAGCAGTAGGTTTGCCAAGGTCAGGCCCCTTGTCGTCTGTATGAACTGTAACCTCCAGAAGCATGCGTCCCTGGAAGAGTTCTACAGCTTTGGTGAATTCATCTGTGAATACTTTGGGCACCAGCGGTCCCAGCCGCTGCACTCGGGAGCCAGTCCGGCTAGGCTACAAGATGTGGGGTGGAACGACCAGCAGAGTCTGCCTAGTGTGGTTTGAACCTTCACAGGGCAATCTGTTCACCAAGCCAGAACAGGGCTTGGATATAGGAGGCAGTATGGTGGTCAGATTTGTGGACGCACTTCAGGAGCATGGCCTGCCATATCACACACTTTTTGACAAGGTCTTTTTACAAGCATCAAACTGATGTCCATTTTGAGGGAAAAGGGGGTGAAGGTCACAGGAACGGTTTGTGAGTGCAGAACTGAGCGTTGTCTCCTCAAGGATCCCAAAGAACTGAGGAAAATGAAAAAAGGGCTCGTTTGACTTCAAGGTGGACAAGAGCGAGGACATCGTTGTGTACTGCTGGCACAACCACCGCGTGGTGAACATCTGCTCCAATGCGGTGGGCACAGCGCCAGTGAGGCTGACCAGCCGCCGCTTGGGGGCAGCCAAAGCTCGGGCACAGGTCCACCAGCCATCACTGGTGAAGCTCTATCAGAAGGCCAGACGGGGTAACCGGTTGGACCAGAACATCGCCAAGTACAAGGTGAAGATTTCGCCACATGAAGTGGTACTTGAGCTTCGTCAGCTACGTCATCGACACAGCCCTCAACAATGCGTGGCAGCTGTACAGGGCGCGCTGCCAGGACACGCGGGTGGACCTCCTCGCCTTCCGCAGGTACGTGCGTGGTACGCGTGTATCTGGAGAGCAATGTGGACACTTCCTCACCGAGGAGGCGGAGCCGGAGGGTGGAAACTGAGAGCCGCTTCATATGATTGGACACTGGATTGTCCATCAGGACAAGAGGACCCGGTGTGCCCTCTGCCACTCACAGACCATCACCCGCTGTGAGAAGTGCCAGAAGGGTGTCGATGCCAAGTGCTTCGGGAGTACCACATTCCCTGAGACCCGAGACCTGTCTTCTCTAGCTATAGTGACATCACTGGGACCATTTGCAGCTTTGTGGTGCTTTTGACGCCAATCACTGATGACTTAGTTTTGTATTCTCTCCTGGGCCCCTTGGAGGCATTTCGGTGGGATCTGGACAGGTTTCCTGGAACTCCGGAGTCACAGAATACTGAGTGTTACACAGCTCATATGGAAAGGTATCCTGGAGCTCGGGAGGCAAGGACCACCACAGGTTATAGTAGTAAGTTTAGCAGCTTACAGCCTTGCCTCAGGGAAAGGCTTCCCCAAAGTTTTGGCTCCACTCTGGCAGGACAGGGTCTTCCAGCTGGGGATGTTTACCCAGTGTAGCAGTTTTGCTCAGCAGGAGGTTTCTCAGGGGAAGTTACTACAGTTCAGCTCTGCTCCCTGAGAGTGGAGAGCAGAGAGCCCTGCTCTACCAAGGGAAGGTTTCCCCTGCAAAAAAACGTGTTACAGGCCTGCTCTGCTCTTCCCGGAGTCACCTCTGCTTTGCTGCGGGCCCCCGCAAAAGATGTTTACCCAAAGTTCATCTCCAAGGGGTTTATTGGGAGGGAAGAATACAGGAGAGTGGCTGCCCTCTGCCAAAGTGGGATTGGTCAGATTTTAATGCCGAACTCAGATTGGCTAGAGCTCCTGCTCAAGGATTGGTTAGTTTTCTGCACAGTGTTAGGGTCAGATTTGACTCTGGTTTTAGGACCAACGTGTGTTTCTTTCTCTGGTCCTTTTTAGCCTTTTGGCTCCAATTTTAGGGCCAGGGTGCATTTCTTTCACTGACTCTGATTCCAGGGACAAAGTGTGTTCATTTGGCACTGGTCTCAGGGTCAATGTAGGGAAAAAGGACCAGCCAAAGAAACACACCCTGAACAGAGCCAAAGAAACACACTTTGGCCCTGCAACCAGAACTAAAGAAATGTACCCTGACCCTGAAACCAGTGCCAAAAGAACACACTTTGTTCCTGGAATCAGAGTCAGTGAAAGAAATGCACCCTGGCCCTAAAATTGGAGCCAAAAGGCTAAAAAGGACCAGAGAAAGAAACACACTTTGGCCCTGAAACCAGAGCCAAATCTGACCCTAATCCTGTGCAGAAAACTAACCAATCCCTGAGCAGAGCTCTAGCCAATCTGAGCTCAGCACTAAAATCTGACCAATCCCCATCCTGGAAGCCCTATATAAACCCTGTGTCTGTTCATCTTGTGGCTGTTCCTGCTACCCGGCTGTCCTCTGCTACTCTGGCAGAGGGCAGCCACTCTCCTGGATTCTTCCCTCCCAATAAACCCCTTGGATGAGCTTTGGGTGAAGATCATCTTTTGTGGATGCAGCAACAGAGCAGAGGCGATCCTGGGCAGAGCTGAGCAAGCAGACAGAGCAGAAAGAAGCAGAGTTGTTACACTCGGCTCTCCAGGAGCAGAGCTGAACTGTAGCAACTTCCGACCGAGAAACCTCCTGCGGAGCAAAACTGCTACACTGGGCGAACATCCCCAGCTGGAAGACCCTGTCCTGCTGGAGCAGAGCTGATACACTGGGGAAGCCTTTCCCTGAGGCAGGGCTGTAAGCTGTTAAGCTTACTACAACCTGTGGTAGCCCTAGGCTCCCGAGCTCCAGGATACCTTTCCACCTGAGCTGTGTAACACTCAGTTTTCTGTGACTCCTGAGTGCCATAATACCTGACCCATCCAGCCCCAAATGCCAACAATCAGGGTGTAGGGAGCCGCCCCCACATTCTCCGTTACAAGATGGCGCTGACATCTGTTGTCGGAGTAAACAACCTTGGTGCGCATGTGCCTGCTACTTTTCTATCCCTTACTCTCTGCCTCTCCTGTGGCGTCATATGGGCTGACTAGCAGGAGCCAGTCAGGAGATGACACGTCCAAGGCAGGGACTGCTGAGCTATATAAGGGTTGGGCTTTTCGCTCCCCGGGTCTCCGCTCTGTAAGCTTATGCTCTCCCTCTCAAGACGCATTAAAGCTGTTCTGCAGAAGGATCCTAAGTGTGCCGCGTCGTTCTTGCTGGCGAGACGGTAGCGCGGGTCATCAGGGAACATTTCTTTGGTTCTGGTTGCAGGGCCAAAGTGTGTTTCTTTGGCTCTGCTCAGGGTGTGTTTCTTTGGCTGGTCCCTTTTCCCTACACCCATCACGGTTCTGTATTTTATGTATTCTATTATGCCTACATGTCCTGTAAATTAGTATTTGTTTTAGTAATTGTACATGTTTGCAGACCTGTATTTTATATTTTATTTATTTAAATGTATTCAAACAAATGTTTTGCCTTAGTATGTATTTGAGTCTGGGTAAAGATAACCAAAGTCTTGTACGAGTATCAAAAAGTAAAATAATTACACAGCTCAGGTGGAAAGGTATCCTGGAGCTCGGGAGCCAAGGACTACCACAGGTTGCAGTAAACTTAGCAGCTTACAGCCCAGCCTCAGGGAAAGGCTTCCGCAGTGTATCGGCTCTGCTCTGGCAGGACAGGGTCTTCCAGCTGGGGATGTTCACCCAGTGTAGTGTAACAACTCAGCTCTGCCAAGGGAAGGTTTCCCCGGCAAGTGTTATAGCCCTGCTTGCTCTGCTCTGTTCTACTCTGCCCAGGATTGCCTCTGCTCCATCGCCGCAGCCACAAAAGATCTTCACCCAAAGCTCACCCAAGGGGTTTATTGGGAGGGAAGAATCCAGGAGAGTGACTGCCCTCTGCCAGAGTGGCAGAGGACAGCCGGGTAGCAGGAACAGCCACAAGATAAACAGACACAGGGTTTATATAGGGCTTCCAGGGTGGGGATTGGTCAGATTTTAGTGCTGAGCTCAGATTGGCTAGAGCTCTGCTCAGGGATTGGTTAGTTTTCTGCACAGGATTAGGGTCAGATTTGGCTCTGGTTTCAGAGCCAAAGTGTGTTTCTTTCTCTGGTCCTTTTTAGCCTTTTGGCTCCAATTTTAGGGCCAGGGTGCATTTCTTTCACTGACTCTGATTCCAAGGACAAAGTGTGTTCTTTTGGCACTGGTTTCAGGGTCAGGGTACATTTCTTTAGTTCTGGTTGCAGGGCTAAAGTGTGTTTCTTTGGCTCTGCTCAGGGTGTGTTTCTTTGACTGGTCCCTTTTCCCTACAGAAATGTTTTTGCCATTGTTTGCATGACCTGTGCTCTAAGGCAGAGACAGAAAGATACAGATATCCTAGCATGTGATGAAAAGCTCCCTGACCTTAGCTATCTCACACTTGCCCATAGCTGTCAGACCATGGGGACATAGATAATCTGCTGTGCATTTACTCAGAGGGCTGAGCTGCAAAGCTCATATTTGCTTGATAAAAATGCTCTCCTAATGAGGTTGGAGAGATTGCTAGTTAGGAGTACTTTCTGCTCTTATAGAGCACCTGAGTTTACCCAGCACTGACGAGCCTCAGTGCCACTAGAGATACTGACATCACAATCTTTCTCTCCCCCAACACTCCTGCTCCCAATACGGTGTGCCATGATACTCCTGTCCAGCATGCACAGCCTGAATTCAAACTGGCAGACTGAAATTGAGCAATGTTCTACAAAGCACTTGAGTATACCCTTGGGAAATATAAGGGCCTTGGAAGACAAGAGAAGGCCCAGAGTTATATCAGACCAAGGATGTGAGACAATGTGAGGTGTGATGCTAGCTTGACACACACCAAAAGTCTTACAAAAGAGAACACTAGAACAGCTGATGAAGGTTGGAAAAAACATGTAGTTTAGCTTGCAGTATTTATACACATTACTCCCTGGCTTTGATAGTTGGACACTGGTCATCTATGCAAGCTAGATAAAGGGAGCCAGTCAAATGGTGGAGACTTTCTGTAATCTTAAGTCATTTCAGACTGCACATTAGGACAATATTCATGCATGTGAGGCATTGTTTCCTCCTTAGAAATCTAGCCTGGGGCAGGAGAGATGGCAGCACTTGAAGTGCATTGTTTTGTTACATTTATTATTATTTGAGGGACACCTGTTTGTGGCATATGAATGAAGGTCAGAGGACAACTTACAGGGGTTGGTTCTCTCTTGCCATATGGGGTCCAGGGAACTGATCACGGGTCAATATTTTCAGTTGCTAATAACACTAACACACACAAACACACACACACACACATGCTATGTGATATGTATATAAAGATGTGTACCTTTAAACTTTTAAAAAGATATCTAAGCTAGACACTTTCAATACTTTTATGTAATTCTTCATTGGTTCTTTGGGAGTTTCACACCATGCACCCCAATCCCACTTACCACCCAATCCCTCCATAACCTCCCCTCACCCTAGCAGCATCCCCCAAAAAAGTCCCTCCAAAATCAATTCAAAAGAAGACAAACAATGACAACAAAACACACCTCACTGCTCTGTCTTTCCAACACCTCTTCATCCTAGTGTTGTCTGGAGCTGCCATGTGTCACACGGTATATTGTCTAATCCGCCCCACCCACAACATGTTCATTTCAAGGTTCAAGGCCTCTAACACACCATCTTCACGGACTCTCACCAAAACTCCTCTTGGATATTCTGCTGTTGCCCCAAGTCATGGAGATCCCCTGATAGTGTTTGGCAGGACCTGGCCCTTCACACACTCCAGCAGGTCACAGATGGAGCAGATGTAAGGGTGGGCCAACCCAAGACCCAGGATGAGGGTCTGGGTGGTAGCTGAGCTGGCAGAGCCAGATCTCCTAGGCCCATGCCATCAGGGTCAGTTCTCCCACGACAATGATGAGGAGTGGGTCCCTTGCTCCAGAGTGTGTGGGGATCCAGCTCTCCCATGGGGGATGGAACTTGCTCTCCTGCTGCAGTGTCCAGCAAGGGGCAAGGCCAGATACCCCAGTAAGGGGGGAAGTCCTTCTGTGTATATGTTTGTCTTATTGGTTGATAAATAAAGCACTGTTGGCCAATAGGGAAGCAAGATAGGTGGGACTAGGATTAGAGAAGGATTCTGGGAAATGTAGTCAAGAGTAGACAGTCACCATGTAGGAAGTGAGAGAAGTAAGAGGTCTAGACCCTTTCTCTGGTAAGAGAAGACCACAAGGAAATACTCAGATTAGCAGTTATGGATTAATAATTAAGTCAGAACTAGCCAATAAGAAACCATAGCAAACGGCCAGCAGCTTCATAATTAATGTAGCATCCTGCATGTTCATTTGGGACTGGTATGGCTCTGGGACCAGGCTG